CCCCAAAACCCCAAAACCCCAAAACCCCAAGAGGATGGACATATGATTGTGAATTAATAATTGCTAAATAAATATAATTATTAATGAATTTAAACAGCGACGATTATTATTCTCGTAATTTCTCCAAACAAGCTCTGATATACTAATCTTCTATTTTTAGTTTCTGACGGAGAACGCCGCAAGCAAAACAGATCTCCTACCCCCAAAAACTATTCCAACGACCTCACTCTAATGAAGGAGGAACAGCTGGTAGAGCAGTCTGATTAATACATCGATGACATGAAAAAGGGCACCTCAAACATTTTGGTATGCCTTAAATGCTCTTGGCAAGATTTTATGCTAACTTGCTTGTAGGTTGCAGTCAGACTTCGGCCACTTTGGAATAAGGAAATTGAAAAAGATGAATTTGAAATAGTCAGGATCCTAGATTAGAAGGTAATTAGAATTCATCGCAATAAGTGGCTCTCGCGAAGCATTTCATAATAATTTTATTTATAGGTCGTGATATTGATGGACCCAGCAGATATTCTAAATGAGTAAAATGTCTTGGGAAAGAATAGATCCAAGGAAAAGCAGTACGCATTCGACTTTGCTTTTGATAAGGACGCAATTCAAACTGAGGTTTTTTCTAAAACCACCAGATTTCTATGCGATGGGGTGCTTAATGGCTACAATGCTACTGTTTTCGCATATGGGGCTACTGGTGCTGGTAAAACTTACACGTAAGATCGCATCTTTACTGATCTAATATACTTTAGTATGCTGGGTACCGAGGACAAGCCAGGCATCATGTTTTAAACATTGAAGGAGTTATTTACCAAGATTAAGGATTATTAGATAGATAGAAACTACAATATCAGAGTGTCTTTCTTGGAAATTTATAATGAGTAAATCAGAGACTTGATAATGGTCTCCTCTGAGGTGCTAGATCTCAGAGAGGACCCAGTCAAAGGTGTCTAGGTTGCTGGTCTCTCAGAAATAGAGGTAGACACACCAGAAGAAATTCTAGATCTCTTGATGTAGTTATTATCATGTTTTTATTTTTATTTGTATAGATTCGGAAATAGAAACAGGCAAGTCGAAGCCACAGGTGCAAATGAAACCTCCTCGAGATCTCATGCTGTTTTGCAAATTATCTGTGAGCATAAGGATAGAGATGCAGGCATAGAGGCTGAAATCAGAATAGGCAAGTTGTCGCTGATTGATTTGGCTGGCTCGGAGAGGGCTTCTAAAACCAACAACAGAGGAATTAGAATGATTGAAGGTGCGAATATAAATAGATCTTTGCTAGCACTGGGTAATTGTATTAACATGCTGCATGAGAATAATTCTAAAAATTAGCAAAACTACATTCCCTTCAGAGACTCTAAGCTAACTAGACTGCTTAAGGACTCTCTGGGTGGTAATTGCAGAACAGTCATGATTGCTAACATATCACCTTCAAATGCTTGCTACGAAGATACTCATAACACTTTAAAGTATGCTAATAGAGCAAAGAACATCAAAACTAATGTACAGAGAAATGTTTTAAATGTCGAGTATCATGTTTCAAAGTATACACAGATTATTGGGTAACTTAAAAATGAAATCTCAGATCTAAAGTATTAATTGAAAAATGGAGGTGCAAGTGGAGGAGGCAGTGTAGTTACATAGATTCCTCGAGAGCCAACTTTAAATACTGCTGAATTAGAAAGACTTAAAGACGATGTGAATAATCACTTTGCAGAGGAAATTAAAGCCAAAAAAAGAGTGCATGAGCTAGAGTAGAAAATGGAGACTTCAGCAATGAGTATACTTTCTAAAAAGAATGAACTCGCTCAGATTATTAGGGAGAAAGGCAAGGATAATATATAAGTGAAGATTATAAACGAAGAAATAGAAGAGACAAACAATCAAATATCAGAACTGAAAAAGGTTCTGGATAGCACTAATTAAAAGGTAATGATCCTACTCAAGCGTAGAGAGAACTTTGCCAGTGAGTGGAAAAGTTCAGGACTGAAGGAAATTCAACTAGATCTTTTAAATCATATTGTAAGGGAGAACACAATATTGGTGGAGAACATGGAGTTTTCAAGGAAGGAATAAAAGGCAGACTTGCAGTTGAAGATCAAGGAGATGCAGTTTAGCAAGTTACAGGAGCAGATTAAGATAAGAGATGAAATGCTTAATCAAGCGAAGAGACGATATAAGGTTGAGGGTTTTGAATTTGATATTGATGATCCAAGGCTGGTATAACTTGAAGAGTTGATGTAGCAAGGCTCCATATTCCCACCAATATAAAATACTAGCTATGGCAAAGCTACTGGAAATATGATCAAATCTCTGCTTAACAATATTACTAGTGAAAAATAGCCTTCCAATGCCGCATAGTAAAATCACTCTTAAAGAAGGCAGCAGAATAATATTTACCACTCGCTTCCACCTATTGGACCTGGTCGAGACTAAAGTGAGTCTAAGATACCCAGACCCAAGTATGTACTGCCCTAGAATGATATAGAAAAGAACAGGCCCAATATTAACTTCAAAGATATGAGAGAACCCAGTAATTAAGCCCATAAAAGATAGCAATAACAATCAGTAAACACAAGAGTAAATAACTATGGACTAAACAAAATGTCAGAGAATTAACTTTCTAATAAGAATATATATCAACCCTACAGTCAAATAAACAATAACATCAATAACAATAGAGAAAATCAAAATCAAATGAATCAGCTTTAAATCCAAGGAAATGGTAACCCTTAAAGCAATGTTGGTTCCAATATGGCATCTAAATCTAACCTTAATAACATCAAATAATAAATCAATTTCGCTAGCAATTTTGCTAAAAATTTACAATTTAAAAGCAATCTGAAAAAACCAACCTAACTTGGGAACAGAAATGATAGGTTTGATAATCCAATAAAGAAATCACTACTACCATCTCCAAGTCAAAACCTGCTTGTTTAAGTAGAAGAGCGCAAGAGATCTAACAGTGTTGCCTCAAGTGGTTCTATCATCTCAACTGCATCGTCTAATTCTCCCAAGCTTGGTGAAAAGCGTAACAAATAAAGTAACTCTTTGTAAATAGCTGGGATGCAGCTTGGAAGCAACAGAAAAGCATACATTCCTTCCAAATATGATAAGAGTCCTTTTGTTAGAGCATAAAATGACTAGAATAATAACAATAATAATGGGAGTGGCAATGGTGTAGGCTAGAGTCTTGTTGGAGGAATCAACGGCAATAAGATCAGCAACCAAAGAGGTATAGCTTTGAGTATGGCAGCTAGGAAGAAGGATATGCAGCTGCAGGCTGACTAGAGTGCATAAATAATAGAGAAGAATAAGAAAAAGGTGCTTGACGCTCTGAACAAAAACTATAGGAAAAAGTATTGAACTCTTAATGACAGTGTTAACAACAATGATGGAAATTATTCCATTAATGTCAGTGCTAGTCTACAGTGAGTACTCATCACTGCGCTTGCAACACTTTGCACAATTTTATGAGGATATTATTAGAGAGAATAATAAGATAACTAATTATTGAAAAGCAAGCAATATTATTATATAAGCTAACTTAAAGTTACACTAAGATTATATTTAATTAAGATTTACTAACAACTTATATTTACGATTCAGCCTTGGGGGTTTTGGGGTTTTGGGGTTTTGGGGTTTTGGGG